ATGTGTCTCGTAGGAAAACTGTCTCAGTAGCAAGACTCCAAACAAGTCGTTTACTTACACTGGTTGACGCCCATGAAGGAGCATAGGACGCTCAACAGCACTCCCCATCCTACCCTATACTGTGAAGTTCCAGTCGCTATTCACTATTTTCATGTCTACTTCCCATCCCGACACAGTGTTTTTTGGTCTTTCTCTTTTTCCTTTGCCTTCAGGACTCCATGTCAGTGCTTGCCTCCAACGTCTTTTCTTAATTTGCCCTTCAGCTAGAAGCTGGTTTGTCTTCTCCCACAGTAGGCTGTTGCTGATTGTATCCGTTCAACGGATATAGAGTAGAAAATTGTATATAAATACTTGTACTTTCTGGATGATGGCTGTCCCAATCAATGTCGTCTCATGATACCCTCATATCCAGTTTCGTCCATTCCGACTCTGGCGTTTATATCTTCTAGGACCGTGAGATCCTTTCTTAGGCCTTTACTATGATTGATTGCAGCCTATTGTAGGACTGATCTTTATCATCGTCATTGCTATGACAACATTCATCGTAATTCCCTCGTAAATTGTTCAAAAGGATGCTTTGATCATCCAGGATCCTTGGGATTCCCATTCTATGAGTGCGTCCCGTGTTTCTTTAGACAGCATCAGAGCATATCTCTGAGTGTATGGAGCATATTCCTCGTCGTGACCGGAGTACTGCAGCATCTCTCTCGTATCTAGTCTTTGTTGTTCAGCTTGGGCCCAATGGTTTTCGAGTACTACCAAGTTGTACTCCTGATTTCCGTCACTACGTGAACGGTCTCCTGGATGTTCCGTGAACCCGCTAGAGTTGAAGCTATCACGAGTTCACTTAATCTGCGAACGAGAAACAAGACTCGGTGACCAAAGACCAGTAAGCTAGCTATTGATGCATCCCAGCCCCGCTAACTAGAGGGAGAAGTCCAAGCTTGGTATGGGGAAGTATATTCTGCAAACAACCAGAAACGAGCGTTAACAGCAAACACAATTCAAAACGTATATATACAGTACAAAACCGCCTTCGAGGAAAGTTACCAAATAGCATACTAAAGACGCAGCGGACCAATAGCATTTAAAATATTTCCCAGTGGAAGATACGATATGAAGGTGACAAGAGCGCCTTTGGCGCGAAAACAAAGAAATTCGAATTTTCTAAATAAAATTGCAAAATTAGGTCCGTTCCCAAGTGATTTCTGTGGAATTAACGTTCCCAACACACACCCCTTTTAGTAGCCTACTTTCCTGGGGTCGAAATGCATCTTGACTGTTGCTCGCCGCTGTTGGAGAGGCCAGCTTCTGGAACAGAGATCAGCTTGTTGTTGAGCTTCTTCTCGTGGTGGTGCTGCTGTTAACTTGAAGGTATCAAGCAGGATTTCAAAGGGAAGATTTACTCCTGTTGATGGGCGGTTTAGGGCTATATGCTTCCGTAGCTGTTTTCGGTGTGTAGTCCACGTGTCTCTTCCCACCAATAGCATTCAAGGTAGTTCCCAGTGGGAAATACGACGTGAAGATGACAAGAGCGCCTTTGGCGCGAAAACAAAGAAATTCAAATTTTCTAAATGAACTTACAAAATTAGGTCCTTTCCCAAGTGAGTTCTGTGGATCTAACATCCTCAACAGAACCTATGTTGATTGTTGCTCTGATTATTCGAAGGGGCATCGGCCTCATAACTTTCGAAAGATCTCGGCTTTCATAATGAATTATCATAATTCTTCCCTCAATTTGAAGGGCAGAGTTGAAATGGTTTGATTTGTTTAATCTGGTTAGCACTTTTTTTTACTAAGGTCGTATCCTACGATATAGGAATGCTGACCACATGCTCAGTTCTCCTTCTTTACCTGGGCTACGACCAGCAGTAGGCACAATTAGTTTCGAAAAAATAATATAGAAATAAGGAGTTTTGGATCAGTTTTCCGTTTGAAAGCGATTTTATATTCTTCAAAAATCATAATATGAACTTAAATCCATCTTCTTTAGGTTTGGAAATATGTTCACGGAATTAAGTGATATTTTGGTCGGTTTCAACTATAATGTAAGGTGTTGCTGTATTACTAATATTTCAACACCAAGCGTTATATATTCTTGGACAAAAGTATTCGTCCTTATAAGTTGATGTCGACTTTTTACCACAGAGCTAATTTCAAACTGATCAAGATCTTAATCCTTCGGTGCAATTAGTATAGTTCAAAACCCTGTGCCATTTTCGTGTTCTAATACTTACCACTAGAACACCCATTTATAAACATTCACACAGCATCTTAGACTAACGTCCTAGAAGTGTAAAACGTATGGGGAATAGCGGGACGAAGTGATTGCAAATGTGTGGTGTCGCGCTCCGCTCCATTACATAACATGTCAGAAACTTGAGCATAAACAAAACCTAGTGCTATAGACCATGGGATTGAAGTTATTCATCCGCAAATCGTCTGAAATCAATTCCTCACGATAGACGACTTCCTGAGGGACGAAAAACGTCCGTGACTATGACCGCATTTCCCATTCAAAATGCCATCCCACCTTGTTAAACTGAAATATGACATTATTTCTATGGTGTCAAAGCACCTATGATGATATGAACACGTCAGGATTCTCAGGACAGAACTGACCTCCTACATATAGAGTAAGCTAGGTTTTGCATAAATACAAATACAAGCAGATATCTAATTATCTTCTTACACATCTTTGTCGATATTTGGAACAGGCAATATCTTTAGTAGCTTTACACTAAGACCCCTTCTTTTATTCTGTCAGGAGGAAATAGGGCAACCTGTCTCAATCGCGTCAATTTGTTCAATACTAATTGTCCCAGTGTGTATTGCCGTCATCCCAAAAAAATAAAACGGACGTAAAACTTGTCGTGGTTTAACAATCGTTGCTCCTGCATTTGCGTAAAATATTACATTAGTGTCCCACGTTTAGACACAGAATCTAGTGTCCCTGTTGGCGTGACTACACAGTAAATGACAGAGAATCTATCTAAGTTCGTGTCAAAGTTTAAAGCTCACATTAGCATTTACCCTAACCAAGAGGTTGCTTCTGAAAGTTGACAGAAGACTAGCATAACCTGAATATGAATGCATAAATTGCCCATCCATGTTATCGTAACTAGTGCTGCCAAATCTACCAAATCATTCAAACACCTACTCTAATCAAACTGACACCTAGTAATTTACTTTTTCTAAGCAACCACCTGGTATTTATATACACCAATTATATTCCAAATTGTTTGTTCCTGATATTAGAGACTTGTTCAAGACGAACAATTACCGATAAACTAAGGAGAATAAATAGAAATTAAATATTCGAAAATAATGTAGATTTTGGAATACAACGTTTTAAGCGTTTGAATCAATGTGAACGTCTCCTCGAAAAAGTGTTATAATTAAAAAGTAATCAAACACAGTTTTAAAAAACTAACAGAAAAAGAGAGTGGAAATAACATGACCACTATTCACAATAAAACTGACAGAAACGAAGAAATTCTCATTATAACTTATAACACTGCGAAACTGAATACAAAAGTTTAGTAGAATCAAACATAGAACTACGCTTAGTTCTTCCTGAAATCATAAGTTAATTTGCAAACACATACATTGTGCATCGCTTTTCGTAAAAAAATATAACACATAACACGTCTTGGAAACAGTGTAAATTCATTTACGGAGTAACATTAAATTATGCATTTAATTCATTGAATATCACAGACAATCAGCGAACTGAGGTGATAGAACTATTGACTTTTTAAAAGCATATCAATCTACAAAAAATTACAGGCAAATAAATAACGATATTAAGTAATGCATCAATGAAATATATAAATAACTGAGGTAAACAACATAGTTCATCCAAAATTTACATAAACGTCACAACTCGTGACCTCATATGTAAAGAATTCGGCTTCCGTTCGGGTAACTACTAGACAATATCACTAACCAATGTACCAAGTCAATTACATGGATATGTTGACTACGTTGCTAAACTGTTCATATATGAAGTTGACATGAAATGTATGAGAACTGGAAACTTATTAAAATCACTCAATTACGTATTTTCTAGTTGATAAAGTCAAACACCCATACTCCGCTTTACCTATTTCGAAGTTTCGACAGTCAGATTGTAAGGACAGACCTCATGAAGCAGTATGTGTCAAAGCAGTGCTGAAATGTTTATTTGGTCGAAGGTGATTAAAGAAAACCCTGAACATAGGTTTTGAGCTAAACGGTACTGGTCAGCAAAGTGTACTTAGAACCTTGACGGAGCTGATGTTCTCTGAAGAATCCGAATCCACGTCCCCAGTCTCACAGTCTGAGGAGTAACCACTGACCATTTTAGACAGACAATGACTCCGTAAAACTGGTAATTTTACATTGGTTTATAACTGAGAAGTGATAAATATCATATTTGTCTAGTCCTTAAGGTTGGCCGAATTTCAACGATTAATTTGTAATGTGACACCTAGAGATTAGCACCCTACAGTGAGCATCAGTTCCATCAGAATTCCGAAAACGCCTGGCAGCCCCAACTAGCACGACACATAGCTTAAACAGAATTTCCTGTCACCCATCTCTAAAACACAAAACTTCTGTTGGAGAGCTCCAAAATACTTTTCGGGAAAGTTCACAGGGATCCAGACAATGCTTAGAAACATTTTACACGATCAGGACTGAGCGAAAGTTTCTTCGAAACATCTAGAAAGATAGTAAATCACGTGTCGAGTTTTCGGTTGGACAGTTCCATTTTTATTGCTATGTTCAGTATACTTCCAGAGCTTTCCAGACAGTTAAAGTCAAGTTATATAGCTCAAACAAGCACGATTATCTGCACATACTTTAACTGTGGAGAAAAGTTCTTATTTTCACTTTGCGCCGTTTCTTTCGTGTTCAAGTCGCCAACTAGGTTTATTCTGAGCTATCAGAAAAATGTTAAGAAATCGGATCAAGAGTTCATAAAACAAATAAATAAAACTACACCAATAATTGCTTACCTGCGCTCTATACATTTCTTTAACATCAGCTAAATCCAATTTAAGTTCATTATTTTCTTCCGTTAATTTACCGCATAAAATTAATAAAGTTTCATAACGTTGTTGTAATTCCATTGTAGGATCATTGTCATCAATTACATCGCCAATATTATGATTATGGTAATTATTTGTAGTAGGAGCAAAGGGATCTGATTGTGATAAAGTTCTATTTACATGGTTTGTATATTTTACACCTGCTAACTTTTCGTATTTCTCAGCTCGAGCTGTTTGTTTAGCAACTTCAGTTAATAACTTCTCTTGTGTGGCTGTTAATTGTTCAATTTCACGTTTCAAATGAGCACATTCACCTTCGCGCAAATGTAGATGAGACTATAAAACAGTAAAATTGTTTTAAATTAAATGAATAAAGAATCCATGTTTAATAAAATTCCTTTAAGTTTCATGATCATTAGAGATCCCGCGTATGGGGTCTTAGATGCCTAATCCCGAGGACATTTATGCTAGGACAAAATCGCCACCCAGCAGTTCTAGGTTCTCAATGGTGGTCTAATTTAGCTCGGTGCGTGGTTTCAATAGAACCCAACAAATAAAATAATATCAATGACGTACCACAACTGATTATTCATGAATACACGATGCGAATGAGCCATATTATAATGACTCATCATAATAATTGAAATCTTTCAGAAAAAGCCTCAGTAGTAAAACTTATTCTTCATGTTGGAAGTTATCGATCAATATCTGTGAAACTTCACCAAGTTCTATTGTCAGGACTATTCTTCTCCCCAATATAATTTAATTTTGTTACAGATATGATCCTAAAGAAAATACCCCTTCTGACCTTAAGTGTAATAATCTACTACCTAGAGAATCGTCAGTAGGCTAAGAATACATACATGACATACTTCCGATTGATGAAGACACAGAGAAAATGTAGTATTCCGAGACTTTTGAGTGAAAATTTAAAAATGTTTTGGATGCATTTCTTTAACTATGAATGAAAACATTTGCTTTAAAATTAGTCTCAAATAACGTCTATCCTGACCACTGACGGTGAAGTAGTTTAATAGGTTGACGACTATAAAAGAGTATCAGTTCTCTAGTGATTGCGGATTCGCGCCTTGACAACAAATAACGACTCTCACAAAGCTTGGATCAAACGCATTTCGACAACCTAAGTATTTGATTCCAATTACTGTATATTATTCAGGTTAGTAAAACGATTACAGAGAATAAAAAAGTGGTTAAATGGTAAACATAAACCTCAAACACAGGCTAAGATTCCATATTATAATTACTTCTTACTTGAAAATATTCCATAGAAGCTTGATTGACCATATCAGACTGAAATTGAAATGTTTTTGGAATACTGGCTACTTCATTGTTGAATGGAGATTTTCTCTGAAAAACGGAAAAGGTAATCAAGAATTCAGACATATTGTTAATGCTTTGGTTGTCTTATAATAATTCGTATTGTAATAATAAACAACAAACTGAAAATCGATCCGTACATGATGAGCGCTTATTGTTCAGATATTTGGGAGTTTTCAAGAACTGACCATTCGATCGAATACACATTGCCAACAATATCACTGCAACTCTTTATAAGCCAGTCTATCGAAATTTAAGCTAAGAAGATTTCAGCACATTAATAATACAAATTATTAAACTTTATCGGTTATTTTTCAGCTACGATTAACATATATAATGAAGCCAAACCAATTTAAACTTTAGAAAACAGACCAGATGAAGGCTGCTTCTACTTAGTGAAAGTGATTGACAACTTAATCGTTTTACTATGCACAGTTTAATGTGCTAAGCTTTGAAGCAGACCGTTTCCATAAAAGCTAGCGATCTTAATTGGCTGTTCAGAAAAAAAAAAACAAATTGTAACAAGGTATGGATCTGAGAATAAGTGCTTTCATCGCTTTTTTATTGCGCTTTAAATTGGTGTGTTTCAAAATGCTATAAAGCATACTCAGACAAGAACACAAACTTCAAATTACTGGTTTATATATAATCAAATTTTGTACGTAAATGAAAAATAGGAAAATCAACATTCAACACTATCTCTCAATGAATAACAAATAACTTGAAATTTTGTATGAATTAAGCGGTGATGATGTTGTCCAGAACAACAACGAAAGTTTCATGATTAAACAATCCAGTCAGTATGACATAATTTTTATGAATGATTCGATTATTTTCTTATATTATTTTACATTTATAGACGCTAAATCATTGCATGGATATCATCGGTTAAAAAGACTTCCTAAAGAGATATAAAACATGTTTGTACTATACATTCCCTCTAACTGACTTAATTCTGAGTGTTTGTAAGTTGTTTCTTTCTCCAAATTTGACCTGAATACTTTTTCTTACACATTACTTCTAACAGTTCATTAAACAACGAACCATTATTGAACATTGAATACGAACAATAGATAATGTTTGAAAATACTAGAATTGTAATAATAGAAATATTATGATACATCGTGACTAAATTATTACACTAAGTGTGAAAATGTAGAGATAAAAGAAAGAAATCAGTCATAAAAGAATTGAAACCATGATGTTAAAGATACGGTGAACTCTAAGCGAAAAATTGGTATGTTCGTATACAACTTAGATCAATATTATGTGTGGATTAGGCTATCCTTAGTTTTGTGATTACAAGTTATCTTTCACTAGAATGGTGTATTAAGGAACGCAAGGATCCAATCATAGAAAAATAAAAAGTTATAGGGCAAACTACAGAGACATTTCATAATTAGAAACAATAACAATAATTCAAACTAATCAGGAATTTCAGTAGGGTTTAATAAATAACTTCCTTTCAACAAACAGGCGACAGAGGTTCGATTACTAAACACATGTGACTTATTTTATAATGTACTAACTAAACGGGAGTTTCACAGATGAAATAACTTCTAGGCATATCTAACATAATTTCTTATACCTACTTACCTAAAGAGTAATTTAAAATTATACCTAGGTCAAATGTATAATCAGGCTAGAATAGTTAATTTTTCTTCAAACTGAAATGTTGAAGAAGATATCTATAATAAAAATCTACTCACAATGATTGAATTCATGAAAACGAAGTATATACACAAACAGAAATGGTTCAGTGAAGTTATATATGTAAAAAGTATAGATAAACTAGAATAACGATCTGCACTATATATATATATATATATATATATATATATATATATATATATATATATATATATATATATATATATATATATATATATATATAAATTTAAACATACGTCAAGTGAATGTGAATTCAATGGTTGATCGATGACCTTATTTGCCACAAGTTGGTCTTTTGCCAATTTCATTTCTTCTAGTTGTAAGCATAAATTATTATTCACCCCTTCTAATGCTTTATAACGTTGCTCTTCAGATAACAATGTTTGTTGTAATTCACTTATACGAGAAAGAAATTCATTCATTTCAGATTTAGATGTTTCCAGTTTGACAGTTAATCTATAAAATATTCGAAAAATACAGTGGAAAAAAGAAAGTTTATTGAATAATGACATCATACGATTACTTATATTTTATTTCGTAACTAAACTAAAATCGGGAATCAGTGAGATATTAAAATGTATAACCTGGTTGAAGTTGTCACATAATATTAATACGGCGAGACAAATGCCAAAGTAGTAAAAATGGTAACAATATCATGCATTAAGGTATTGTTTTAAATAAGACATCCAATATAAAGAAATACTAAAATAAATATGTGACTGTTTTGGGTGATGCACTTAAAATTTGCTACATCAATTTTGCACATGGTTTCCAGACTCTGACTAATCGATGACGCTTAAATAGTGCATAAATGAAGAGGTGAATAAACAACTGAAGATTTACTCTTTAAGGCACCATAATGTGATAAGAATCTTGCGTTACTTATGTGATTAGAAGCAAACTTGGAATTGTGTGAAATTCTATAAAGTACGCCAAAACTAATAGCAATTTCTGCGCTTAACAAAAACAATCATAACAGCTGTTTGGAATCAACAAGTAATCAATAAGGGTGTATACAAGCTAAATGTGTTCGAAAGTATTTTACGGTTACTTTGTAGGGAAGAAAGATGAATTATTAGCGTATTCTAACAATGGCTTCTAATCATTTTAATGAATCAGTGAACAAATAGCCGGTCACACGCATAGTAGACCCTGGTACACTGATTGAAGTTGCCATAGCAAAACAAGCACAGAGAAACATGGAAGTATCAATACAGATGAGAGAGTAGGAGAAACAGTCAAATTATCAACAACGATGAAAAAACACTAGGCATATACAAACTCAAAATTTAAGGGATGGGACTAAGTGAATGCATCTGAGTCATTATAATCGACTTCAAGTCAAATCACTGGTTAAGATAATCTTGCGGAAATGAACCAATGGTTGAAAACAGAGCGCTTAAATCATTGAAACGGGAGTTCCGTACACATATATCGATATAACTTTGGATTATAGACAAATATGATGTTTAAAAGTTATATCCTCAATGACCAATTTCACTGAACATGATGAGACATTTGAAAGCTCTCATCTTTCTTCCGTTAGCTGATATCTTAGGGATTTAAAATCAATGTAATTATTTCTACTACCTTGTAAGTTTTCCAACATTCATATAAAAAGTCGTAACTTTGAGAATAATTTACATCATAGTGTTTTTGGACCAGGGGATTGTACAAAATAATAAGACATTGAATAGCATTCTCATCCGGGGTTGAAAAACATCAGTCGTGTTCACTCATGACTCCGTCAAGGACAGAACTGAAGACCTAATGACCTGGCGGTAAACATACATCCTTAAACCAATGAGTTGTAATTCACTGTTTTACGTTTCAAGCTTCAAATGACTGAACATGTTGGACGGTCACCATGTTTGATAACTGATTTATGTATGATTCACTTGGTATTGTTTTTACTTGGATCTTTCCATTGATTTTTAGGCAATATCGAGGCAATACGCACAGTACGCACGTATGCCAATAAGAGACTGATCAATTGCAGTCCTAAACATCAATGGAAAGATTCAAGTAAAAACAATATCAAGTGAATTAAACTTCACCCCATTGCACAAGCAAGTGGCTATCAGGACTCAGTAGCTAAGTGGATAACGCGATGGCGTTTGAAGCGAGCAGTACTGGGTTCGAGTCCCAGAGTGAACATCAATTCTGATGCATGTACATCCAGCTGAAGAGTCGCAAGTAGAACGGAACGCGCGTCCTGGATTCCACCACTAGCCACTATCCATCTTTGCTTATAATGATTTATGTATGAAATTTATGAGTGTTAGATGAAACTTTTGTTAAATGTTTAAAACGCTTTCGATTTTCTTAAACTTATTCATTCCTTTATCTAGTGTTTATTTATTTATCCTCATTTAATTTAAAAGACAGTAATAAATTTGACATTTTTGATTGTTTAAATTTGGGAAAAATACAGCAAACCATTACGTAATTGAAAATCGTTTTGAAAAAAACCCATATACCTACTCTTGTAAATCGAACATGCTACCCTGTGATTTTTCTTGTTCTGCTGTAAATATTTTCTGCAAATCAACATATTTCTGCTTTAAGGAATTCAATTCTAATCTAGCCACTGCTAAATTATCCTCTGCTATTTGAAGCTGACTTCGCCATGATTTTTCAGACGTTTGAGCATTATCGGCTGTAAGTTTATATTCAGCTAAATATGAGAAAAAATTGAAACAAACCCATAAATAATATTCGATGATAGATTTTATTGCACATGTTAGTATAAATCTTAGGACACTGTATCTTGATGTGCAGAGACATAAAAAAGAAGGTTAGCTTGAAAAAGAAAATCTTACTTGAATGCAGTGAATTTTAATATCAAGTATAACTTTTTAGACACTTTTTTACCATGGATTATGACCTGATGAATAATAGACAGACGGTTCGAGGTGTGAAAATGAATCATTACAATACTGCTCAATTGATCATGTACAATGACAAGATATGATTCAATGATACACCATCATGAGATCAAAAATTGAATCAATCCTCCGAACGAACTGCAATAAAAGACGAGATTAAGAGCCAGAAGAATACGTTTTTATCTGGTGAAATAACCAAAGGGTCTGAAAGGTGAATTCTTGCTTCGAGATCTGAAGATCCTGTTTTCGACTCCTGTTGAGGAGAATCGTACTAAATTGAAACAGCTGTCCGGTACTTTTAGATTTTCAACGAACGTCTAATTATTATCATTCTGTGATCCAAACCATACAATTCAACAGTCTCCACCAAACGCCAATAATTATATCAGTTTTGTAAGTCACTACTAGAAATTCACCAAACAAATTTAATTTTTGCTCAGAATATCACTCTTCCTGCTTTTAATAAATAACGAACATAACAAAATTCATTCCACGGATCACTCACAAAAAATAGAGCATATAATGAAAAAAGTTACCTCTCAAATAACATAGCCTAATACAATTCGTTCATAATGGATATTTGAATATCGTGTTCAAGTTTTTAAATCAAAGTGATTATCTATTTCTTACAATTAAGTAAAGCTTACAACAATGTAAGTGCAAAATCCAATAGATTCAAGATAGTTCAAATGTGTCCTTAACAAGTTGCTAGTATGGTTTTACAGTTACCATAGATTCGTATTTGACATTAAAATTGGACTTGCAGGAAACGAAATAGAATAAAAATGGTTATCATACTTTTTAAAAGAAACAATAGAATTACGACAGTTATGAGACGATGACCACTAAATATTAATCACTGTGTTGTCCTTTTGTCTAATTTATGTAATACGGTCATCAAATTAGGTAGCTGGCGATAATTGTGAACTGCATACTTTTGAAAAATAATAATAGATATAAATTCAAACTTAATTAGTATCAGTACTCACTAGCAAGGTTCATTTTAAAAAACCACCTATCATAAATATAAATTTCTTCACACATTTTAATCCAAACAACTAAACAAAGGTTTTGAAAAGATATTGCAGTGAACGGAGACTCAGATACGGTATACCAATTTATTCTTTTATGCAAAATCGCAATGCCAGTGCCTTTGTAAAATATAAAACTCATACATTGAATACACCATTTGTACATTTTCCTTGAGTTGTCCTTTACATACTCCATCATTCTTCCAATTCTGTTGTTATACCGACTTCTCACTATTTTCCTTCCTCTTTTCTTTATTTCAGTCTTCTGTTGAGAAGCATTCTACGTTCGATTCCTCTCACATACTACTTACACAGATCCGCATAAGTAGCGCACACCATAATATTTGCAGCAAATACCCTTCTTTAAACGATAAACTGAATAAAGTAAATAAATCGAGTTGAATGATCAATTACTAATGCTGATCGAACTGCCCAATAATGATAACGTATTCAAATATGACAGATGAAGGTAGCTTCTTAACAAACAAATGTCAAAAATGAGACCTAGATAAGCAGCTGCACAAGACGTAAAAATTTGAAACACGACACAGTAGTCAAGTATAAGATTCTACGAAATCAACTTCGAGCTACAATTTTAGAGTAAGAATTAGTAATACAATCAGGTTATCTAAAATGAAGTAGATGGAATGACGTAAGGACGTCAGTAGTAGTTTTAAAATTAAGTCCCTTGATCCAGGTTCATGTTACTTCTTGTTAAGGACACTAAAATTTAGCTAATTTTCGTTGATAAATGTTAGTTTTCTTTCCTTTAACAATAACTACAAGTATGATTTTTCTAATTCGTATTTCCTCATGAACTTCAAAATTTTCTGATTAGCTACTATGAGGCAATCAGTAAATTTTTGCTTTCAGGTAATAACATCTAGTGACACTACACTAAATTTCGTTTTTCATAAAATAATCTCCGTACTTCGTAAATATCAATCAATGTAGGCCGAACCAAACAAAATTTCGACATGCAACACTATTGTTAATATTAAAACGTTCGAGCACAGAAAATAAACAATTTTAAAGGAATATGTGAAGATTGGTTCACAAATTTTATTCACCATAGATTAATCTAAATTAGGGTGACATTGAGACATCTGTTTCATCCTAGGATAAGACTCCTCGACAGTGCACACCAATGAACCTCATCAAAGATTGAAAATTGAACCTTCAGCTTTGAAAAGAAGCAAACGATTCATCATTAGAACCACAGGGTGGGCATAGATATAGTTTAAATCTCGTTCACTTATGAAGAAAATTATAAATACAAAAAAATACTCAAATGTATTAAAATAACAAATCTATTTTGAAATGTTTCTCAAACTGAAACACTTACCTAATAATTTATTCAATTGTCTTTCTTTTGTTTCCCATTCAAATGCTTGATTATTGAAATTAGATTGAAGAATTTCTAATTGTTTCATGATTGGTTGCGTTGCAGTAGTAGTTGTTTCATTCAATAGATCAATTTTCAACTGGGCATCAGACAATAAACCCTAGTACGATATATATATATATATATATATATATATATATATATATATATATATATATATATGAGAGAGAGAGAGGGAGTAAACAGTTTATTGATGCTATTAGTTTAAAAATGGCTGAAATATCCAAAACAGTTATATTCATTCGAATTTGTTATATCCGAACGAAGAATAAATAGGTAGTAAATGTCAAGAATTATTTATGGATGGTTTTTACATAAATAATTATTGGATAATTATTCGGTGGCTAGATGTTACACGTCACAACAATGCGTTAACTCCTTAATGGAATCAGTCAGCTAAATGTAGCTGCACAGCAGATTCGATGGTCAATCCAAGACCTGATTCCAGTAACATCCGATTCAAATGTCAACGCGTTACAAACTTACGTACCGAGTATTCTAGTTCGATCAGTAGCTCCAAGGTAAATCGTGTATATTAAAGACGTATGTGACTGGTTATGAAGATCAAGCTTTTTCATTTTACAGCACACGCTGTGAATATTGCCTACTCACTAGTGCGCATTCACAACCTTAAATACAGGAGATCAAGAATGAGATCTTCGTACAGGCTCGTGAATGCTTAATTTCTAAGCCAGATTCCAACGTAGGAGCAGGCGCATATATGCATCGCTTCAAGTTGTCACACCTTATTAGCACAATAAGATAACCACCAAATTCAAAGTAGTTACCTCAATGGTAGTAATATATAAAAGAAAAATTGAGTATGAGGACATGATACAGAGAGAAAGATTCACTTCATAGAAAGAACAGTATAAAGCAACTTTAAACTCGCGGTTTTAGGTAAGACAAATAGTGTATACACCGGCACCATTGTGATCGATTCTGAGCCATGTCATCCAGAGTCTCCAACCATTGGTTACGATAGTCACGCGTACCCCAACCAAGTAGTCTGCATCTATCAACATGGCTCAGACCAGGAGTTGGTGACTACATGGACTGACGCCACATTTTGTTTTGGCCGCCCCTAACTTTCTTCCAACCATCCCGAACACCGGTTAGCATTGCACGACGTGGTAATCGGTGTTCAGGCATACGCAACACGTGGACCAACTATCTCAGTCGATGAAGATTCACAACCTCATAAACTGATTTGCCATCATTCCATTATCCCCAGCGTCTAACCTCACTATTACTTACCCAGTGATCCCAGCAGATGCCAGCAATATTTCTGAGGCATATGTGGTCAAATACTTGTAGCTTACGAGTATCTTCAACGCTTAATGACCATGTTTCGCAGCCTTAAAGTAAAACAGAACAAACTGTCGCGCAGTATACTCATCCTTTTATTGATAGACGGACATCTCGCCTTCGCCATAGGTGACGTAAGTTGGCAACAACCAAACGAGCTTTCTGAGTCCCTCCAGAGATTTCGCCAGACACCAACCAATTAGAGATGATCAGACTTCCAAGATAAGTGAAGTTGTCGACTCGTTCGACTACTTCACTCCTTATCCTTAATTGAGGTGTTGACGTCGACCAGTTCTGAAGCAACAACTTGCATTTAGATGAGTAGGAACGTATCCCAAACATCCTGGCATTCTTGCTCAGTACTACCAAAAGACTGCATTTCATCAACGTCTTCACCAAAGAGGAAAATGTCATCTGCGTATTCAAAGTCGATAATTGGACCTCCTGGTAGGAGATCAGTTCCTGATAATCCAGTCGGCGAGAAAGTTATTTCCATCAGTATGTCTATGATGAAGTTGAACAAAAATGGAAATAGTGGACAGCCTTGCCAGACACTACTTGAGGTTGTAAAATCAGATGACAGTTAGCCATAATCTCTGACTCGACTGGTTGTTATCGAGTAAAGAGCCTTCAGATGGTTTATGTACTTCTGAGCTACACCTTTCAATGACAGACACTGCCACAGAAACTCTCGGTCAACAGAGTCGAATGTTGCTTTTAAGTGAAGACCACCATTGTCGGACGCCGATAAGCATGCCTGCGTTCTGAAATCTGACGAATGGTGAATATGTGGTCGATACAGCCACGACCAGGTTTGAAGCCAGCCCGATTTTCTCGTGTTTGCAGTTCATGAATCTTTGTTAGGAGCCCGATAATCATCGTGTTCAGAGCCTGATGTGATGGGCTTACGAGAACCTATTAGTGCAACAGACCTTGAAGAAATCCATTGGTTTTTTGTAACCTCATGGTTCAAACCACTAATAGATGTCACTACTGTTTCCACAGCTGTTCGTATATCTTTCCAAGCAACATCTGGGTCAGCCTCCTTTTCAGAACCACATAGGAGAAATAATAGGAATCGAAGAGGGAAACTGATTATGAATGCTGTTAGAGGTATGAGGGCAGTTATCACTTCCCGGTTGCCCACACCGGGGAAGGGTTCTTCTGGAGGTACCTGAAAACGAAATACGGTCAGGGATGGGTCTTAGTGACCTGAGAACGTTACCTCAGTACCCGAGTGACAACTGCTCGAGGCGGGCCAAACACGAGCTTCTTGTCAGTAATTTTTGTGTTAGCTCTGTACTTGTTGGGACCTTATCACCGGAGACGGAAATTCGTGAGATAAGACGAAGTGTGCATTTCTAGGGTCGAGCCTTTCTAGCTCCGCTCTTTCTTTGTTAGAAGGCAGCATCGCTGTTATGCTGGTTATCTGAAGGAAATACCTTACTGCTGTCACACCTCTGTGCAGTCAGCAGTACGATTTCGCCTTGGGTTTGCTGCTTTTAGTCTTATGGCTCTTCAACCGACCTGTCTGGTATGGTAGGACCTTGAGAAACGATTATTCCAGGCAGTATAGCTCTATTGGTTCATTACCGTAGGAAAGCCCGACCACCACTTCAAGGTAGTAGCAACTGAAGATTATTACATTATTATTATACTGTTTATTGACTTTGATAATCTAACCGGAATGTAGACAGTAACCAATTAATCAGAGGCCTAGTTTAGTTTCAATGATTGCATTTGTTAGTGGTTTTTGTTATATATGTAATCTACAAGAACCTCAACATTACATAGCGTATTCCATTCGAAGTCACTGAATGTCTATGTTATATCTTTTCACTAGACGATCGATACGCTTTTGTGAACAGAATCACATGTAGGAATGTTTCATCACACGCCTAACAAAATAATAGCATGTTCTTGAGACCCTATTCAAATGAAATCGATAAAGTGTTTAATGTTAAAATAAGAACCGAAAGTTAACCTGGTAATACTGAATTTCTTCTCTCCATTTGATCGCTTGTTCTTCATGTTGTGTTTTAAATGCACGTAAATCTCTTGAATTGCTGTTCAGTTTCTGTTTTAAGGTTTCACATTCAGCCTTTACTTTTTCTAAATCTTCGACACATTGACTTTCAGCTTGTGAATGACAGTGAATTTGATTCAACTGTTCTTTCAACTCTGAATTTTCACTGAAACAAAAGATAAGCAAGAGAATTAGGTAAAATTTGTAGACTTAATAATAATGCTATGATTGCTAATTAAAAGCAAAGTTACGCCCTGAATTGGTAAAATTGTTTTGTCAGCAAAAACAGTTTTACGGTGATAAATACTTCAGAATGAATGCGTTAGGAATGGTCTAAATTACTGCTTACATTGAATATAAGGATCGAAGCAGTTCAGTATACTCACAACTTCACTTAGTATGGGAATTTCATCAACTGATTTAGAAAGCCTGATTGGTTTTCTTCAGCTTATGTCATCTGTGACGTAGTTGAGATGTCCGTCTGATGACCGAAGAGCATTTATACTGGAGATCAATTCATACTACACTACCCCCTAGCTGTTAAATGTGGTCCATGAAATTATAAATCTATAGGCTAAAGGTTTTGATCATAAGTTTCTTAAAAGCATTGCTTGTGTATCATGAAACGACTGAATGAAGACTGAAAAAGTTAGTCTTCGGCAAACATGCAACATCAGTTGGTGAGGCTGTGGATCTTCGTCAACTGAAGTGATTCGCACGTGTACTACGTATCTCTAACCACCACCTATCTCAATACACAATGATAGTTTGTGTGCGAGTAAGATGAAAGAGAATTAGATGCGGCCCAACTAAGACGTGCCACTAGTTTATCAAGTCATTGAATGTTGGTTTGAGTAATGTTGTTAGATACAGACAATTTGGTTAGGATTAGTGTGAAAGCCACAATCAGTGGTTAAAAACATTTAGTAATATGCCTAAGAACCAATTAAAGCGGAACAAATGCATGCACTCTTCTTCAAGCCCTTAATTTTTATTATTCCTTCATACATACATTTTTATTCCTTTGTTTTGAATTGTTTGCAAAAAACCATTGAAACAAAGAGTGTTTATGTCAGGTAATTGAAGAAAAAAACAGAAAATACAGTCTGTGGCTTTTGTGGACCAATCGATAAGCCTATCTGACGTAGTAAAAGGACTGCTGCTTCCTATGGGATTCAAGCATGAGTCATCATCCAGTGTAACAGTAAGGAACACTACTAATCAGTTACTCATGGAATGACCGACTTCCCAGATGTGTTGTTAATGAACCCTAATAACTACGACACCAAGATTCAGACCTTTCAGTCAGTCGCTTTTCTTCAAATAACAGAAAAAAATTCTACCACGATGTTCAGTCATCTGGGCTGGTGCTTATACTTAACCGATTAAATATGATTAAAAGTAGACAAGACGATATGACATGCGATGGTTATTGTTAGCGGGACATAGACTGGATTAAAGCATGTTCAATGCACGATCGCTTTGCTGCGCGCTGATTGGCTAATTCTTATCCAATCAGCACTAGTCGATAGTTGGAGAATATAGTGAAAATTCCCATTCTGCCATTTGGTAAATAAAGAAGGAACGAATTGAGCGAAGAAATTTCTTTTCAATTAGTTTTTCATCATGGCTCTACACTAATATATATACGTTTTACAATAATAATATAATACTCATCGAGTAAATACGTTACGTGTAGAGCCATGATGAAAAACTAATTGAAAAGAAATTTCTTCGCTCAATTCGTTCCTTCTTTATTTACCAAATGACAAAATGGGAATTTTCCCTATATTGAAACGTTCTGAGCAAACATTTGCGTTAAAGATTCTCAATGAGTATCTGAAGTATAGCGCAAGGCTCAGTGAGGCGATGACAAATGTTGATTTTATAAAGGAGTGCCTAGAAACCAACTTGTATTGGAAATCTTTACGTCGCTCTCGAGTTCGACCAAATGGAAGGACTCTTAAACGCTACACCCTTAACCAAATCGATTCTCTAAACTCATACATTGTCGAGATGGTAAAAAATATCAACGAGAGAGTTGGAGAATACTCTAGAATCTTCTCATGTAAAAATTTTAAATATACTAACGTTTTCCCTATTGTGCTTCTTACTTGCTTCTTGCTTCCATCTAACCTTGTTATTTGGAATATAATCTCTTTCCTGTTCAACCGTGTTCTGATTTGGGGACTTGTCGAGTGTACTGGTGTCCGAGAATACTAGCAATAGGAATAGCTGGGTCATAACCGTAGGAAAGAGATCATAACAGTTACCAACTGTGTTTTTAGTATACAATAATATGTATTACATGTACAAATACGTATATTTAGGATAAAAACATACTTACTTGATGAGAGTCTCCAGTTCCTGTTTTTGGTCAGATATTTTGATTTCATTCTTACTGATTTGAATCTAATTAGTATATGCATAAAAATGTTGCATAGTAGTACCGCATTTCATGTATATTAAATAAATGAAACAAATACATTGTTTTCTTACATTTTCACAGTCGAAAACTGATCACTTGAGATAAGAAGGAGAGTTCATGCTTTATCTATGTCAGTGTAACAATTTATGACATTTTTTACTATTCCCAGTGTAACATTTTAGTTAATATGATATCGGTATAAATAAATAAATATATTTGTAATATCCCGATGAGTAGAAAAATTAAATTTTCTGAAATCTTGAGAAAAAATAACCAAATCAAAATTAATCCAAGTTTAAATAGTACAAAGGAACAACACAAGAATATTAATGTGCGATCATAACATTCTTGCGTTGTTCCATCGTACTATTTAAACTTGTATTAATTTTGATTTAGTTATTTATTCTCTGAAGAAGTGACTTACACTGAATCACAGAATGTCAGAAAATTTAATTTTTCTACTCATTGGGACATCACAAATATATTAATTTTATTATAATAATCTACCCACTGCTCAATTTATTTGAAATTATCAAGTTAAACTTTGATAATGATACCTACAATATGATATCGGGTTTATATCTCTCAGTGTAACATAATTTCAAGTCAATGTGTAACGTATCAATTAAGTGTTAGCTTTAATCAGAATGATATGTGTAAACTTTACGTCCAGTATGACAATTATATTCTTGTTATTATCTTGTATGAACTTCGTGTACGTTCGACAGTAAACTTTTTCATTTATATAATGTTTATTAATTAACGACCAAGTATGTATAAGATCAGTATATAAATGAATGTAATTGGTTTGACATCGTTGTTTTTTTAAGTTAGTAAATCTTTTTATCTCAATCTTTGAGCCTTCACTTCGCATTGTGGTAATCACATTAGTTCTCGTATCCAAGTGTAAGTAATAGGATAGCGGACATTACAAAAACGTATTCATCATATCATTAGAATCCTACTCAACAATATAAGTAATCTAAATAGCAACTGACTTTTACATCCGAATCATTATTATTAGTAGTATTGATAATGTTATACATAGAAAAATACATACTAAGAAATTGAAAAGTGAAATATATTTCAGTGAGGATTGATTACCTTAAGAATTTCCTGTTGTTCTTCCAAATTATTTATCACTTTCGTTTGTCTAGTAGAATTGGCTGATTTAAAAAAAGGTCAAATGAAGGAAAAAACATGAGTCAACTAATTTGTGAAATGACAGTGTTTACCCGTAAATTGATTTAAGAAAGTAACTATTGTTTGAAATGCTACTCGGTATACGTAATAATAGCAACCATAATGGAATAGAACACAGTTTTTATACATTTATCTTTGAATAGCTAAAACAACATATAGTATCAGGTATAATAGCATACTAGTCATACAAATTAGTGACAAAAAATACGTGGGTCTTATCTCGTTAAGGTAACGGTAGGAACCAAGGTGCACTGGCGAACTTATTCGTCCTACCAACATACTCGTTTAAGTGAAACCTGAAGGTCCTAGATTCAACCCAAGAGTGGAATCATGGGTTCGTGCTGCTGAAAAGTCATGGAGTCGGACAGGACAGCTATCCATTACTGCTAGACTATTGATAATATCCCAAATGACATTAATCTGTGCAGAATACAACCTAAAAACAGAACCAATTTGAGCGAAACCCCTTCAACAATAAAATACATTCGACGCCTAAGAGTTTGTGATTCAATTGCAATGATCAAGTATGAAGTACATTTTCATTCAAAAATAGCATTGACAATTATTAGAAAAATCAATTAATAGATAGATTTATAATTACTTAGTTGAATACCAAGTATCTCTTCCTTATTTTCTAAACTGCTTCGCAGCCGTTGAACTTCAACAGTTAATTGTTCAATTTGTTTCCTAGAACAAAAAAACACCAGTCAAATAACAAGGATAAATAAAATGTAAGAGTCAAAGACAAAAAATTATAATGATTCAATTATGCTATTAAAGTACATAACAATTATACAAGTAATACACAAACAGAAATGTCTACAACACTTTTTTTCACTCTTTTATTTATGTATTAAGCGCTAGTCGGATATCTTCAGCATCTAAAAACATTGTATTATAATGTCTATTTTACAGCTGCCTATTGAATGTGTTTATAAAACAGAATTGTTAGGTAAATTAGAGTTAGAACAAAACAAATTATACAATTTTCAATTTTCGAAGGTCTAGAGACTAGCTTAAAATTCAATATGTAGGTAATTAATTGCCATAATCCATTCGAGTCAGTCAGTCAGTCAGTAACAACGTAGAACTTCGTACATATGTACATCAGTTCGAGTTGCCACACCACATTAGCACAGAGATGCAGTTGTCGATTCAAATCCCGTAGTGGTAGAGGTAGCAAGAGTATAAGCAGTAATCGGGAAGATTAGGGTTTGGAGATGTTATTTAAAGAGTATAATCCAGTGAAATAAATTTGGAAAGAGGAAAAAAGGGACATGAAGGATTCAGAAGATTAGAATTTGGGAGAACACAGAGAGTGGATGCACCTGCGCCATTGCAAACGATTTTGAGCCATGTCATTCAGGGTCTCTAACCATCGGTTGCTATCATCTCGCGGTCCCCAACCAGGTAGTCTACACCTACCAACATGACTCAGTCCACTTGTCAGTGACTTCATGGACTTGTGCCATGTTTTGGTTTGGCCGCCCCTAGCTTTCTTCCAACCTACTCCTATACCACTGAACATAGCACGTCGAGGCAGTCGGTCGTTGGGCATACGTAACACGTGTCCCAGCCATCTCAACTGATGAAGTTTCACTACTTCATCAATTGATTTGCCATCCTTACCTAGTACCCGTTTCCTAACAACTGCATTACTTACTCGATGGTCCCATGATATACGAGCAATGTTTCGAAGACACCTATGATCAAATACTAGTAACCTACGAATATCCTCTACTCTTACCGGCCATGTTTCACTGCCATAAAGTAGGACGGAACGAACTGCTGCGCAGTAAACCCGTCCTTTGGTTGATAGACGGATATCTCGCCTACGCCATAAATGACGCAAGTTGGCAAAAGCTAGTCGAGCCTTCTGTATCCGTGCTGAGATTTCGTCACACACCAAACCACAAGGGCTGATGAGACTTCCAAGATAAGTGAAGCGGTCGACACACTCAACTACTTCACTCCCTATCACTAGTTCGGGTGTCGATGTAACCCAATCCTGAAGCAACATTTTGCATTTCGAGGGAGAGAATCGCATCCCGAACATGCTTGCATTGTTGCTTAGAGTGGTCAGAAGACTCTGCATTTTGTCAGCGTCTTCACCAAATAAAACTATGTCATCAGCATATTCTAAGTCAACAAGTGAACCTCCCGGTAGAAGTTCAACCCCTGGAAATTTAGATGAGGAGAGTGTTATCTCTAAAAGTACGTCAATGACAAAGTTGAACAAGAATGGGGAGAGTGGACAGCCCTGACGAACACCACTTGAGGTAATCAATTCTGATGACAGTTCGCCATAAGCTCTCACTCTACCAGTTGTGTTCGAGTAGAGAGCCTTTATAAGGTTAATGTACTTCTTTGGTACTCCTTTCAGTGACAAACACTGCCATAGAACCTCACGATCAACAGAGTCGAATGCCGCCTTAAGGTCGAGAAATACTACCATTGTGGGGCGTCTGAATGTGTGTCTGTGTTCTAGAACCTGACGTAGTGTGAATATCTGATCTATACAACCACGTCCAGGTCGAAAACCGGCCTGGTTTTCTCTAATCTGCTCTTCACGAGCTTTGATTAGGCGTCGAAGTATTATTGAAGCTAATATTTTAGACACTATATTAGTCAAACTGATTCCTCTGTGATTGTCACAAGAGGACTTTTGTCCTTTCTTATAGACTGGCACAATCAGTGATTGAGACCAGTCAGATGGGATTACGTCCAGTTCCCAAATTCTACCTAAGACCTCAGTTAATCTCATTGCTAATACTGGACCACCATCCTTAAAAATCTCAGGAGTAAACCTGTCAGGGCCTGCTGCTCTCCCTCGTTTCAGATTTCCTATGGCTTTTTCAACTTCGTAAAGGGACGGAGGACCTACATTAACTTGCCATTCAGGTTGACTAGAGATCGTGGGAAACCGAAGTGTGGCTGAAGGCCAGTTGAACTGATCCCTAAAGTGTTCTGCCCATCGATCCAATCTCCTGGATTGAGAATGAATAATATGTCCATCTTTCTCTGAGATTGTTTCGCTAACGGTCGGGTTCCTAATTCCGGTTTCCTTAACGAGTCTGAACAATTGTCTGCTATTACCTATTGCCGCTGCCTTTTCCATCTCTCTTGCTTTCGCTACCCACCACTGTTCGCGATCATTGCGTAGACTTCTTGTCAGCTTGCGCTTAAGCTGACTCCGCTCTTCATTATGTTCAGAGCCAGGTGGAATGAGTTTCCGAGCATCTATCAGTGCGATAGATGCTGCTGAGATCCAGTGTTGCTCCCTAACCTTCTGGTTTACCTTACTAGCAGATATCACTGCTGTTTCCACAGCTTTTCGGATATCATTCCATGCTGCATCGGGGTGGGCATCACATACATGGCTGCCTAACTGTTTTCCTAGTTGTTCCTGAAATATACTCTTAGCTTGACTATCATTAAGTAGGCCCTAAGAGGTTTCCTTGCAGCGTCTTTCCTACGTCCAGTAAGACGCAAGCAAATACGCGCTCGCACTAGAGCATGATCTGAATCTAGGCATGTGCTCCAGAATGAGCGACAGTCTTCTATCGAGCCCCTCCATCGGTGGCTGATAGCGATGTGATCTATTTGGGTCCAACGTTGGGACGAATTAGGGGGTCGCCATGTTAAAAGATGTTTTTCCTTATGCTTAAAGTTAGTATTTGCAAGGAACAGGCGGTTATCTGAGCATAGCTGCAACAGACGGTCGCCATTATCTGTTCTTTGAGCCACGACACCATAAGATCCACCTAGGTGTCTTTCCCTATCGCTTAGTTTACCTACTTGAGCATTAAAGTCACCGGCCACTATTACTACATCCGAGCGCTTAGCTTTTCGGAGAAGGTCCGAAAGCTTTCTGTAAAACTCATCTTTTACATCATCTGAGCTGCAGTCAGTGGGAGAATAGGCAGAGACGACGAAGAGGCAACGACGAGTGTCCCTATCTTTCCGGATTCTTACTGTTCCGTTCAGTCGGACAGCGCACAAACGACTGTCTACTGGGATCCACTCTAAGAGAGCTAGTTCTGCCCTAGGACTCAATGCTATACCTACGCCGGCGAGGCCACGGGAAGCAGAATCAGGGCTTCCAGATACACGAAGCGTAAATCGAGTCGGTTCTTTATTTTGGCATGGTGAGGTCAAATGAATGACGCTACTTGGATCCTGTATGCGCGTTTCGGAGACGCAGCACACATCGATGGCGCGAGATTCTAAAGTTTTAGCTAAGGAAGCCTGCTGTCCTATTTGGCAAAGTGTTCGTACGTTAAAAGCTCCTACGTGTAGTTTAGAGCGTGGTTTCAGGAGACCAGGAATGGCGTTCCACGTACTCGAATCGTTTGCCCTAGCGGTGCGAGGTGATAAAGAGACGTGAGGAGGGTTAGTCATGGAGATAAGAGAGGTATTAGGAGGTGTAGGAAGGATTTGAATGTGACCACCTTGGTCTCTTGTGCTGTTACGGGTATGAGGGCTGATGTCACTTCCCGGCTGCCCACACCGTGGAAGGGTATTTCTTGAGGAACCTGAAAAGGAAATTGGATTAGTGTTGGTCTTGACGACCTGGGAGCGTGACCGCAGAGCCCAAGGGACAACTGCTTGAGGCCGGTCGCGCACGGCCTTTTTGTGGAAGGTTTTTGACGTGTTAGCTCCGTTCTTCAAAGGGCCTTACCGCCGGAGACGGAAATCCGTGAGGTAAGGTGAGGTGTGACATTTTTAGGGTCGACCTTTTCTAACCCCACCCCTCCTTGTGGGAAGGCAGCATCGCTGTCATGCTGGTTGTCCGAAGGAAACACCTTACTGCTGTCACACCCTCTACAGTCAGCAGTACGACTTCGCCCTCAGACCTTGAGTTGCTGCTTTTAGTCTTACCGTTCACCAATCGACCTGCCTGGCATGGTAGAACCTACAGGAACATATGTTCCAGCCAATATAGCTCGGTTGGGTCATCACGATAGGCAAGCCCGACCACCGCGTCAAGGTAGCAGCTTCGATCGGGAATCCATTCGAGTAAACTTTATATAATATCAAATCTACAATGATTTCATAAGGAGCTTCAAAGAAAAAAAGTTGAAGGAACTTTCAAAGGAGACTTGTAGAATAGATGTAGAGTGAGGCTAACAGTTGAATGTAAGATGAGCATTACATCCCGATTGGGACTCATCAGCTGGATAGTACATCCTGAAGCGAAAATAACATTATAAATTGAATGAATAACTTGCTGAGAACAAGAAATAAATAATGACAAGGGAAAAACAGTAAAGAAATTTGACTATGAATAGTGATTTATTAGTTTACTTCATCAGAATTATACTAGACAGTAAGAGAAAGAATACAAATGGACACATTAACAAGTTTTCTTTATTTAGAGAATACATATAGAGTGATAAAGACAGTAGAAGTATTAAATACACAATTCAACTTACAAATGTGATGCTTCTGTCTGCTTGCTTTTTTTCTGTTCTGAACGAAGCTTTTTTAATAGATTATTTGTCTTCAACTGATCAGCAGATAATTTATGACCTTCTTTTAATAAATTCTCAATTTCTTCATTTTTCTGCAAAATTACATTCTCTAATTCATTTACACGTTTTCTGTCATAATATTTAGGGGAAGAAAAGACGTAAACAATAAAATAATCAGTCAGTCACAAACAATGTAGAACCTAGCAAATATGTGCATCGGTTCAACTTGTTATATCATATTAGCGCATCCAGATGAAATTATCATGATGAATAATACCATGTTATTAGTATTGTGGTGTGTGCTACCTATACGGACAGATATAAGCAGTATGTATAAGGCATGGGAAGTAGACGTGAGAAAACTGAAAGCAATCAGAAAAAACAACAAGAATTGAGGAACAATGAAGTTTGTGAGACAATCCAAAGAAGATGTGCAAATGGTGTATTTAATGTATGATTTTCATATTTTACTAAGCCATGGTGTGACTTTGCATTAAACAATAAATCGGTTATCCCCACCAAATCTTCGTTCACTACAGTATCAATAATAACGAAACAGATTAGGCGTAGAATGAATTCGTGAAATAAAAAGTACAAATGATGTCGAAACTCGGGATCTAATTGTGGACAAAGAATGGATGTATATGCACCATTGCAACTGAATTTGAGACATATCACGAAAAGTATTCAACTACTGGTCATTGTGGTCGCAAGAACACCAACCAGATAGTTTACATCTACCAATATAGCCCAGTACAACAGTTAGTGACCTAATGGACTGGCACGACATTTTGGTTTGGTCATCCCTAGCTTTCTTCCAACCTACTCACCCTCAAATCAATATCGTGCGTCGATGTAGGCGATGGTTGGCAACACACGATAATCAATGATTGACAGAATTATTTCTAAAAATCACTTAATTTGAAAAAAGATTTCCTTCCCGAAATCTAATTAGCATGAACACCACTGTATAAAATCTAGATAAAGCCACCTTAATGAATAATAACCAACTCAATATTTAACCGACCCTCTACAATGTATGCATCTAAAATCAATCAATTACATAGGTTTGAGCAGACTAGTAATATAAATAGCCCTCTTACATGAGGTAAGGTACACAAACGAATACAATAGATCAGTACACTTGGTAGATGAGTTACTTCATCATATTCCTCTAAAAAAGTACTAGACAAAATGGAAGCCTATAATTGACGAATAAGTTATATTAAATTCAACAGTCGCGCACCATTTCAATGTCCAAATTACTAAGTTTTACCACACCAAGTAAGAATTTAATAAGACGAAACCAATTTATTATAGAACCATTCAATAAATTGATTACACTTGGATGATAAACTTACATTTCAATTAAAGAATAATTTTGACTGATATATGCGATTAGTTTTATAGTTATGTTCAGAGTAAAATAAACACGTAATGTGGTTAAGTATCTGTTTAAGTCAATTTGTTCATATAATGGTAGAAACTTATACCCATAAATGAGCAACAAGCACTTAACGACAATTATGTTTGATATAGTTTTTTTGATGAATAGATAAAATAGATAGCGAACTCCATATGTAGAAAATAGAGTATCTGAAGGTTATGATGCTACGCCACACTTATTTCGCTCGCAAGACATCCCGTTACCAAAATTATAGAACAGTGTATGGAAGTTGCATGTGTATGTGAAGTGTGTAAAATGTAATATGCTTATTGCGCAACAGCAATAAGTATTAGATAGAAGCTTTAAAATGCTGAATCAGTGATTTTAAAAATTAACAGAATGATTGAAAACTGTATTTCTATGCTTTTGATTTAAGTTGGAGAATAACTAGCAGTAGAATACAAGACTCGTGTTTTGTCGTATTTAGGAATAACCAGTTGGATATACTCACCACATCCCAGTGTTGATGTTCAAACTGAGAATAGAACGCAGTATTTCTCTCTTTAAAGTTACCATGCTTATACTAGAACAACGGGAGGAAAGTAACTATACGTTGAAATTAACATCATGAAAATAAAGAGAAATGTATGCATGATGATAAAACGCTGAAACATAATAATAAAAGTAACTTACATATCATTATTTACGAAAGGTTTATCATCACCTACAGCACGTGTGATCACCGGAATTTTTTGTTTCACTGACGATAAACTTTTTTCAATTGGTCTCGTTCACGACAAACAACCTGTAATCGTTTCTCTGTATCTGATAAACGTTGAGAAAACTCTGAGGTAATACTGGACACATCAGTAGTGACAATTTCTTGTGTGGTCAGTGTAGTTTTTAATTGCCTATAAAATAATAATGATAATAATAATAACAATAATAATAATAATAATGTTAAAACACTAGAAGATGTAAACAAAAGTTAACAGAAAGGAAGACACTAATAAGTAAAACTTCGATGCTGTAGAAGGATGCACCATAACCTTGAAATTAACATATCATGATAAAGATGCTCCAAGATATACAAAGCCAATTATCGATGTAAGTATAACATTTAAAAGATACGACGAAACAATACAACCGTTCGTATAAAAATGCATTATCATGACCGTTTCAATAAATAGGAACAAAGCGTTGAGGGGAAAGGGAATTCAAAAGTGTATACCACTAGATTACCACTCATTGTTCTAAAATGCTGTGATCTCTTCAATATCTGGATGTCTTCATCCCTATTCTCCATAAGGTTTGAGGTCCACTCGATTAAAGGGTCCAAAACCGAAGAGAAAAAGGTTCCAAGTGTTTATTGCTTTCTAGTGCTTCTTTAACTTTTATTTCAAAATCTCTCAAAATCCGGACAGCTTCGATCAACCCGATGAAGCCTTCAGAGGTCCTCTGAGTTAATACCTCATCTCGTAACCCACCCGGTTTAGTCCTGATCTGGAGCTCATTGGAACTGGATTAATTATCCTGACATAAATGATGTAATCATCTGATCTTGAGAAGCTAAAAGTAGGCTCTGCTGCCATTGAAGTAACAATTTCATTTAGTCCATAAAGTGCACATACTGATCTTTATGCGGACAGATTGTCTTGTAATACCAACCTCCACATGACCAGCATGGAGATGATTGATGGTAAAAAATAAAACGTTTAAAAATAATATAAACCCGAAAAAAACCACCTAATAAAAATAGATCATTTATAAAAAATTAGTTTTGTAGAAACAATCACATGTTAAGAGATTTTCGAAAAATTAAACTGGATAACGAGAAAACATATATTTCTATTACATACTCTTGCAATATTGAGACTGAATTCTGTAGTACGTTGTTCTCATGGCTAAGTTGCATAATTTTTGCTTCACGAACATTTAGTAAATGTTTGACATCGGAAAACTTCTGAAGCAACAAAAATAAACAGCATTGAAAAATATTAAACAATAAATTGTATGGAATATCTCTACGTGAATCGTTCAAGTTCGAGATATGCGTGAACTAATAAAACTTTTCAAAGATACCTAGCTAGATTAGTCGAGTCAAATAGAACTACTTACGAATCGATTGAAGTTACGATTATAAACTACTGAATGTATACTCTGTGGTCTAGAGGTTAATCGCTCGCAGAGAGACACGAAAGCTTTGGGATCGATCACCGGTAGGGATCACGGATGAGCACTGCTAAGGAGTCATATACCTGAACAGAACAGCTATCTAGTGCTTCTCGGTTTTTAATGGCTGACGAACAAAGGTTAGTCCATAGTATAAACTATGAAGTAGTTATGAGTATGTATCCATGAGTAATTCACCTCTTAACAGAAACAACCACTGAGTTGAACAGAATCGGAATTAAATTATCTACCACTGAGCAAATAAACTCTGAAACATGTTAAAACTTGCTAGAAATCACATTATGCTGCTAAAATTGTTATTGTATTTATTTGGTGTGATATCCAAATTTATAGTAGTATCTTCTTTTCATGAATCTAAAAGCACTATCAGCCAATACTCTAACCCGCTCTTCACGTCATAGTATTGGAATTTATTCCAGTCCATAAATTCTATGTAACGTCAAATTAGTAAAGCAGTAAGTTGGGAGTTAAATGAATCCTGATATCGGCATACAACTTTATAATGAATATTGGGAAGAGAAAGCTCAGAAAGTCCAGAACTTAGAGAAGCAATAATCTACTCTAAAGATTTTACCTACGGAGTTCTTATAGGATAGTTCAAGTTAGACTATGCATAAATGACGATCAACTAGGATTAAGCTTTCTGATGTCAAAATTAATATTACGTTTGTGCCTAAAATGTTATAAAAGATAAGTTTCATCAACACAATCAAGATAATAACAATAACTAGGTCCTTTGAGTTGCTCATTTTCACTCCATTAAACTTGATCACATACTTCTAGAACCTCGAAAATCATCATCATAAATCTGTACATCAAAAAAAATTTCCGGATTCACACTGGACTATCCTAACAATCCTTTACTCTGTGAGAATGCATTACTACTAAAAATCCTGGTTATTTTTAGGAATTTTCTTACCAATCCCACATCCAGTACAGTTAGCAATCACTATGATTTCTCCAACATCTGAAATTGACTACGTTTGCTTTTAGCTGCTCTCCAGCCAATCTACCTGACACCATAAACAATTAAGAAATAGACATTTCACCTAACATAGCTGCTACCCTAATATGTTGAGTGTTGGATGCCTAAAACACTGTACCGTTACTAAATTATTGATCATGAACACCATATAGTATCATTTTACGTGCTTAAAAAATTAAACACAAAAACGGTCATAGCCTAAATTATCATAAAAACTAGGAACTGTTTTTGTTAGGAGGTAGGTATATTCTCTAGAGGATTTCAAATCCATATTGAACAAAAATCAGTATCCATATGTTTAAAGAATAGTAAATCTTTTAAAAAAAACTTTAGAATAATACTAATCTCACTAACCTTAGCGAGGTCATGATAGGCAAATGTCAAATCATCATCAATAGTATTTTGCAAACCTTTACAATTAAAACAAAAACAAACAAACTTATTTTTGTCGCCGAACATGTAGTTTAAGTTTATGAACTCGTAATTATCGGCACAAAGCTTTACTATTTCAATTTCATTTTAATCAATATGTTTTTCAGTAGAACTGTTACTTGAATAAGAAACAGGTAACTGTTCAAGTTTTTTAGAAACCAGATGAATAAGTTTTTATTATTTTTATCCTGAACCATTCATCATAGAAAATAATCTTAACACTTTTTGATAAAGGTGAGATCAAAGAACAGTTGTTCATGAGTTCGACAGGGGATTGTTAAGTATGTAGACACCATTGACATACAGTTTACTGATCTGAACCTTGATTGAGATGAGAATTTCCATTTTCTGTTTCGACTTTTTAAATAGATAAATAGCGAATTGGTCTGTCAAAAATCTAATTTGGTTAGACCAATCAGTCAGTCATAAGCTATGTAAAACCTGACACATGTGCATCAATTCAAGTTGCCACACCAAATTAGCACATCGAGATAAAATTATCAAGGCGAATCCCGAAATAACAGGAGTAACACCGTCAGTAATAGCAGGGAAATTGTGTATGCTTTTTATGTCTCTCGACATAAGTAGTATGTAACGCCAATCAAAAGTTGAATGGCTGGAAGCAGATAGCTAAGAAAACCGGATTGAAGAAAGCAGAAAGGAATTGAGAAGTGGAAGAATCATGAAGTATATAAAGGATAATTGATGGAAGATTTGTAAATGAAGTATTTAACGTATTTCTTTTCAATCGGTTTTTCATCATGGCTCCACACTAATATATATATATATATATATATATATATATATATATATATATATATATATATATATATATATATATATATATATATAGAGAGAGAGAGAGAGAGAGAGTCGGCAAACGTACATCTCACCTATGCTACAAATGACGCATGTTAGCAAAAGCCACTCACACTTTCTGAATCCCTTACGAGATTTCGCCAGACACTAACACATCAGGGTTGGTGAGACTAACATACGTTAAGTGGTCGATCCCTTCAACTACTTTAAACCCTATCGTTAATTCAAGTGTTGATGTAGGTAGATCCAGAAGCAATATCTTCAGTTGAAAGGAAAAAATAACATCACAAGCATACTTGCACTGTTCTTCGTGGTGATCGTTAGAATCCGTATTTTGTTATCATCTTTACCAAACAGAACTATCATTTGACAAATTGCTAAACAGTTAGACGATGAGGACGTTGCAACTGTAAGAACGTCTATGACAAAGTCGAACGAAAACGGAGAAAATGGAGAACCCTAATGGACACCACTTGAGGTAAGCAATTCTAGTGACAGCTCACTGTGAGCTTCATTAGTCCAATAAATAATCGAACTCAGTTATCAATATACGAACGTGTGCAAACGAATAAGAATTATAATATGGTAAACAGTTGCTGATAAGCCCAGGACTGCGGAATTACACTTTATCCAAACATTTGTTATTTGTATAAAACAGATTTAGCTTAATATTTTATAGATCCTTCATTGAAATTGGTCCCCATTTTATATGATCATATAAAATCTGTGGGATTATATAAACCCACATTTTATGCTTGTTGGGACTCGTCAAAATACATAACTACACAATTAAGGAGTGCATTGAAATCCTTCCTCAGTGCTCTAATATATACCACCCAAATACTCCGCAGCCAAGGGCATTAGCATAATTAGGAAACCTCGAACCAGATTTCGATATTGTTAAAAGACATTTTGAAACATCGCCATGATTTAAAACAAATTTATGCGCATTAGATTACTCAACTCAGTAGACAAAGAAGCCACTATATTATGGTGTCTTTTCCACTCAGTTTCCCTAGACAAGAGTGATGAATAACAAGAAATCAATATTTGACACAATCTAAGATTGGATATGTTTAGGCTTTACTCTATGCCACCTAATTCAGTGAAAATGATTTATTTCTCAAGTGATAAAAAGTTTTTTAAAACAGGTTAAGAATTTAAGTAGAACAAACGGTGTATTTCACTTATCACTAATAGCAATTTTTACGTATAAGCAACAAACCGTGTACAGATAAAATACCTGCCTTAAGAAATAAATCTATGTGAGTTTTAAATGCTGTTGGGAGAATAAGGGTGGTTTCCCGTTCCCGGTTGGTCACACCGTGGAAGTACATATCTTAAGGGAACTGAAACAGAAACTGGATTAGGTGTAACACTGCCGACTTGGAAGAGTAATCAGTGCCTAAAAGACAGCTCCTCGGGGCCTTTTCTTGGATAGCCTTGGATAATGTCACCTCAATCACTTTAGGACCTTGATGATGGACGTCCTTGGAGTAAGGACATGCGTGTTATTTTGGTCTAAACTTCCCTAACTCCTAGTCCATTCGTGAGAAAGCAACACTGATGCAGATACTGGTTGTTTGAGGAGAACTCCATGCTGCAGTACGAATTTGACCACGGACTATGAGCCTGTTATTTTCAGTTTTACTGCCTTTCAACCAACCTGCCTTGTACAACAGAACCTAAGGGAACACGTTTCCCAACGAATTTTGCCAACATATTTCTACTGAGTTATTACGATATGGAAGCACGACCATCAGTACATCAAGGTAACAGCTACGGCTGGAGGAAAATACATATGAAGCAAAACAATTGATCTATAAATATGTTTCAGATGAATTAAGGACTTTAAAAATATTTTCAGACTGAAGTGGTCTTTCGAAATGAAACGAACTTTTCTTCAACAGTATTAAATAGATCTTAATCAAAAATAATATGAAACAAAATATTCATTACCATTGAGCTTACCCATACATAAATCTTGCGAAACACTAACAGATCTACGATGTTCAGGACCACTAGAACTAAGAAAGTGGAGTAACGAGAAGTTAAAAAAAAACAATAAACTAAAATATGAAGGTCTATGATGACATAGTATTTGGTGGAAAAAAATAGACATGTTGAAAGATGAAACTTTCCCCAAGTCAGACTTCTTCCAAATATACGCTGTATACAAATTGACAGCTTGTTATGCATAAACGTTTTCACATCTTGAAATTGTATCTACTTATCACAGAAATCAGAAATTAAAAATGTAATCTGATGAAACAAAAAAATGCACGAGATACAATAATGCAGAACTTTTGATAAGTGTTAGTTTGTTTCCAAATTTGTAATATCAGTTATAATTTATGATACTCTAACAGTTAGTATAATGATTTGCATAAAAACGAAATCAAGATCCCAGTGCTTGCTTAAAAGAAATAATTGAAGCATTTAAAAAAGACAACCAACAAATCTAAAATACTATATTAGGCTTACCATTTGTTTAAAACAATCGGAGCACTAAATCCTCTAAGATAATATTTTTGCAAAACAAGTGAGTTTTGATTGAATCCCGATGACAGACGTGGCTCTTTAACAGGAGACATAATAGTAGGTGTATTAGAAGAATGTAACTCGTGGACTTCACCACCATATGTAGAATTACAACACGAAATTACTTCAATATCCGAACTAGTGGTATTAGTATCAAAATCGTCATCGGCACATACTGGTTGAGCAGTGAATGGTAGTACTATATCAGATGAAGAACGATGCAAAGAGGTTATATCTTCATTGGGAATTGGTTTATTCACTAACTGCAATTCCTTTTCTAGGGATGACAATTGCGAATTTACATCAACAGCTGATTCTTGTGCAATGTATTCCGAAGAAATTGTTACTTTTGGTGCATCACACTTTTTTTCACATAAATCCTGTGATGTTTTTTGTTCAGTGACAGTAGAACAATCATTAACTAATGTAGAATCTATTTCCCACTGTAATACAGAAATATTAAATCCTGATTAGTTTGACAAATGGTATTTAACTCTGAAAGTAAGTATGAATGTGCTGTTTAGATCAATAAAAGTACCAAGGCTATATTGCACTGCAACAGGTAATTTTCTAAAGTTCGAATATAAAAACAGTGCCGTCAAAAACCACTCATCGTATCTTCACCGAATAATTCGAGCGCGGTCCAGCAAACCTAAACTGTATGGGTATCGATAATAGAGCTAAGGCGAATAAGCAAACACAACACTGAAAAAATACCACTTTAAGGGTCATATCTTAGCTAATCTAAATGAAAGGATGAATCCCACAAGTACACTATTATCTTCAGGTGTTCTATAGACAATTATCCCTCAGAGAACTATCCAATAATTTATCTCTTACTGAATTCATGTGAACTGATTTTCTTTCTCAAGTCGCTCTGAGTTATTAAAGATAAATGAATAATGTAATACTGTGTGAAAAAAAGTTCAGAAAATATAATAAAAAGCAACCCAGTTATTTATAACGCACAACAGATATTTGGAGTGACAGCAAGCAACGTGTACGTGATGATATATCCGCTTTTAGATAGTGAAATACCCTTTTAAGTTGTACAGTGAATTGCAGATCAACATTGAAGCAACAAAATAATATGAACTGCAAAAGTAGGTATGATCACATGGTTACTTTTCTTCCACCTTTTAGTATTGGATTGATAATACATACCGACTGTACTTCGTAAAAAACTATATATGAGCATACTTGTTGTTCTCTTACAACCTATGATAATTGAATTATTACAAATTTACTTCAGATTCATAGATAAGCTAGTTTCATGTAAAATAGAGTAAACTTAAACATTTCATCATCTATAAGTGACACCTTAAGAACGAACAGGAATGCTCTATGTGTACAAAACAGATAAATCTTTATTCTACGTCGTTCATGAACAATTACTTTGTGATTTAGTTTTTCAGTTTGTGTCAAAAACCAATTCCGAAAAGTAGGTTCGCAGATTCATCGAATGGGCGAGACTATAATTTATGGACGAACCAATCAGATTTACGATAACAGGTCTTGAATTTTGGCACGAAACTAATTAATTCACTTGTATAAATAGCATTTTGCCATTATAGCTGATGTCAGTTCGTGATGAAAACCTTAAATCTAATTCCTAACCCTAACTATCAACTGTACATATTTATCCTAATTCCTCACACTGGTTTATAACCCTCACATAACCGCAGTAAGTGAACATTTTCAAGATCTTTTTAGCATCGCTCAAAGGTCGTCCATAAAGTATAGTCTCACCTACAATTTTATTACCAACCTCAAAACAACCAACAATTGTTTGCACTTTCGTGTAGTACCATAAGATAACTGCAAGGTACTTAATGAAGCAGTTCACATGAATCAGAGAATAAATAAATCACAATTTTTCCTAGCCATCCAGAACAAAAATCAAATTCGCCTACAGAATGTATTCGAATTATCACAAAATCAAGAATGTATCGTGTTAACGATGTAAACTTATTCGACATAACTACATACTAACTGAGAAAGAAGGTAAGAAAGTCATATACAGTTTCCTCGACAAGTATTGCTTCACGATCGAACCGAGATCACTAAAATTACAGTTAACTGACAAAGTAAAATATCATCTAGCTAATGTGAATCGATTTGGACCACTATGAAATAATGAAGCTGATCGTTCGGATGCCCTAGGTTATAACAGATAGATGAAAGTTTCAGAGTTATATCCGAACGAACAATAGGGGGATGGTAACTGCTAGGATCTATTTATGAACTGTTATATATATATATATATATATATATATATATATATATATATATTCTTATTGCATAACTATTCAGTAACTATATGATATACATACTCACATTCCTTTTATTATAAGCTTCCGTTTGACTTATTGACTATTTGTTGTAACGTATTAGGATAGTCGGAAAAATATACCAATAATTATCGTGTTAAGTCTATGGTGGCCTTGGACCTTAAATGTAAATTTCTTATTGGTCGATGTTTGTTTCACTTGCTAAATATTGTGTAAATGTTGTTTCTATTTTATGGTACGATGTGGTTTGTTTGTTTGGTATATAAATAGAGTATGTCTGAAATACAAAGATTCATAACTCAGAGGCTGTGACTTGTGTTCTTGACTCAACTGGCTAGGACAGATAGCGAAGCAGGGCCAATCAGGGCACTAGGTCGTCCACTACGTGTTTACGTGTCCACTGTAATCGATCGATATAAACGCTGCTCCATCTAAACTGCAGGCCACACATTACAACACTATTATTATATGACTTACTATCCTTAAGATATTCCCAATTTATTGGGTACATCCTCTCACAATCACATTCACTTTTGGCCTAATCTTGTATAATTATTATTTTCTGTTTTTATGGTATGATGAGGTCTGGCTTGATTGTATATAAACTACGTGTGTCTGGAATATATTATTCGTTTAATGGTGGCTGATATTGGTGATCAAGACTAAACCGGCTGGGTTAAGAGAGAAGCTATTAACTCAATGGACCAATAAGAACTCATATTTGACTCTGGACTGTTCGTACTGGTTCATGCATCATTTGGGGGACTTGTCGAGTGAGTCGGTGTTCGAGAATACTAAGCAATAGGAAGAGCTGGGTTATAACCGTAAAAGAGAGAATTTAACAGTGGCAACGAGGAAAACGGAAAACGAAATCAAGATGTCGATATCAGATGACCAGCTTAACCGAATACTACAACAACAGCAAGCACAACTTGGTGCACAAATGCGGTTGTTGCAGACTCTGGCTCAACAGCTTAACATTCACTGCCCGAGTTCACATGCTATTTCAAGCACGTCTTGTGATGCAGTTGCTAGCAGCATCCCAGAATTCATCTATGATCCCGAAAGTGGAAATACTTTTCTCACGTGATTTAAACGTTGGGAAGATACATTTACACAAGAATTCTGTAACCAAGACGACGCGTGGAAGACTCGACTGTTGGTACGTAAGTTGGGAAGCAATGAACATGCACGTGATACTGACCATATATTGCCAAAGTTACCTCGAGAGCTCAGTTTCGAGGAGACGGTAATTCAATTGTCAGAGATATTCGGTGAGTCATCCTCATTGTTTAGTATTCAACACCGGTGTCTAAATTTGGTGAAACGCGAAGCCGATGAATATGGTGTTCTAGCAGACATCGTCAACAGAGAATGTGAACGGTTCAAGTTACGCTCGTTGACAGAAAATCATTTTAAATGCTTAAGATTCATAAAAGGTCTTCAGTCACTACAAGATGCTGAGATCAGGACTAGACTTTTGGCTCGACTAGATCAAGACCCAAACGTCACACTCAGAACAGTGACAGATGAGTGTAAGCGGCTAAAAAGCATCAGACACGAAAACGAGTTGATTGGACAGGCAAATCCTAATTTAATCTGCAGTAGTGTCAATGCTATTACTAGGTTAAAGGTTCAGAAGCCGATAACAACTGGTAACAAACCAACGACTGCATGCTGGTTATATGGTGAGTGGCATTATGTACGATTCTGTCCATTCAACCATAAACGTCAGGTGTGTAACAAACGTGGACATAAAGAAGGTCATTTTCCACCGAATCGTACGTCTCGGCCCAAGAAGAAGCGCAAGCGTCCTCGACGCATCAGATCCTACGAATCTGCTCAAAGGGGAGGTGTTAGCGGGACATAGACTGGATTAAAGCATGCTCAATGCACGATTGCTTTGGTGCACGCTGATGGGCTAATTCTTATCCAACCAGCGTTAGCCAATACTTAGCGAACACTCTAGAAATCTTCTCATGTGAAAAACTATAAATATACTAACGTTTTCCCTATTGCACTTACTTGCTTCTTACTTCAATGTAACCTTGTTATTTGGGATATAATATCTTTTCCTGCTCAACCGTGTTCTGATTTTGGGGACTTGTCAAGTGAGTCGGTGTCCGAGAATACTAAGCAATAGGAGTAGCTGGGTTATAACCGTAAGGGAGAGAATATAACATAAGTCGGTGTTTCTAAATGGGACTAAGTCACACGATACATTAACAGGCCATAAGTACATAACAGTCAGCTTAATCTGAGTATACTGAGTTGACCTGGAACTCATACTAAATTACCTAACAAGTCAGTCAGTAATAACGTAGAACTTCGTACGTACGTACATCAGTTCGAGTTGCCATACCACATTAGCACAGAGATGCAGTGGTCGATTCAAATCCCGTAGTGGTAGAGGTAGCAAAATTATAGGTAGTAATTGGAAAGATTAGGGTTTGAAGATGTTCATTAAGGAGTATAATACAGTGAAATAAATTTGGAAAGAGAAAAAAGAAAGGGACATGAAGAATTCAGAAGGCTACCACTTGGAAGAACACAAAGAGTGGATGCACCTGCGCCATTGCAAACGATTTTGAGCAATGTAATTTAAGGTCTCTAACCATCGGTTGTTATCGTCTCGCTGATCCCAACCAGGTAGTCTACACCTACCAACATGGCTCAGTCCACTTGTCAGTGACTTCATGGACTTGTGCCATGTTTTGGTCTGGCCGCCCCTAGCTTTCTTCCAACCTACTCCTACACCATAAAACATCGTACGTTGGAGCAGTCGGTGGTTGGGCATACGTAACACGTGTCCCAACCATCTCAACTGATGAAGTTTCACTACTTCATCAATTGATTCGCCATCCTTACCTAGTATCCGTTTCTTAACAACTGCATTACTTACTCGGTGGTCCCAAGATATACGAGCCATGTTTCAAAGACACCTATGATCGAATACTAGTAACCTACGAATATCCTCTACTCTTACCGGCCATGTTTCACTGCCATAAAGTAGGACGGAACGAACTGCTGCGCAGTAAACCCGTCCTTTGGTTGATAGATGGATATCTCGCCTACGCCATAAATGACGCAAGTTAGCAAAAGCTAGTCGAGCCTTCTGTATCCGTGCTGAGATTTCGTCACACGCCAGACCACAAGGACTGATGAGACTTCCAAGATTAGTGAAGCGGTCGACACTCTCAACTACTTCACTCCCTATCATTAGTTCGGGTGTCGATGCAACCCAATCCGGAAGTAACATTTTGCATTTCGAGGGGGAATCGCATGCCGAACGTGTTTGCATTGTTGCTTAGAGTGGTCAGAAGACTCTGCATTTTGTCAGCGTCTTCATCAAATAGAACTATGTCATCGGTATATTCCAAGTCAACAATTGAATCTCCCGGTAGAAGTTCAACACCTGGAAATTTAGATGAGGAAAGTGTTATCTCTAAGAGCATGTCTACGATAAAGTTAAACAAGGATGGAGAGAGTGGACAGCCCTGACGAACACCACTTGAGGTAATCAATTCTGATAACAGTTCTCTATAAGTTCTCACTCGGTCAGTTGTGTTCGAGTAGAGGGCTTTTATAAGGTTAATGTACTTCCTTGGTACTCCTTTCAGTGACAAACGCTGTCATAGAATCTCACGATCAACAGAGTCAAATGCCGCCTTAAGGTCAACCTACCTAACATAAGACAGTAAGCAGCTGCAACATTTCAAATAGGCCTGATCTAACACAGTTTACATGTTTTGCTTTATTATAAATTTTCATTATTGTGGCATGGGTTAAAATTATACAAACACCAAGCAGACACACTGTAATGCCCAATAAAAGATGGAACTGACGTGGTTTATTGACCACTTGTAAAACAAAATATCCTTTTCTTGTTAACCAATGAATCAAATTTACCTGATCTCAAAATTCTAGATTCCTATACACACATGAAAAAATATGCTTAAAACCTTGAATATATAAAATTATCACGAATAACGTGTTCGAAGTTAGAAACAATGGGATTATTCCATTATTTTATGGACTGTAAAATGAGATACTATTTGATCTAAAGAAAACGTGTGCACGATTTTTGTAACACCACCCTGACAAAATGGAGAACTACATGCGTGAAAAAGCATTTGGGAACATTTTAAACAGGATAAGCGGAAATCAAAACGAATGAAAGTCTGTCTGGCAAAAGCAAGTAACAAGTATGCACAAAGCAATAAATCTGTCACGTGTAAAACTTAGCAGGTGTTTTAGATTTAGGTGAAATTAGTAACAAACACTTGTTATTAAAAGTTGCGTCATGCATAGATTGTAGAAGTGCAAGAATATCGTAATACGCTCTTAGAAAGTTGTGCATCAAAATGCCACCCCATAAATATGAATGTATCGCTGTTTGTATTCCATCCGACAAAAAAATATCATGATCTTAACAAAAAAGACAGCTATTTTTAAATGTTCAAAACAGTGAGTGGAAATGGTAAAATAAGATCTGTTTGTATATATCTTTCTTAGTAGAAGAAAACATAAGATGTGAAGACCTACCAACTCATCAGTTTTAATGTTCTCATCAGTTAGCACCTTATCAAAATCACTGGATGCGAAATTGTCTAATTGATCGTAAACAACTTTTTCCAGAGAATCCATAAGAGGTGAGTGATGACTTCTCAACCTTGTTGAACAAGACCTCTCCAAATCTCCACAATCGCTGCCTACTTCACACTCAGATTTCTCTGAAATTAGGTAGTAACCAGTGATGTTAATTAATGAATCTAAGAATGAAAAAAGCTTTCAGCCTCACTTTATTAATATTAATTGAGATTGAAAATACGAAGTAAGCATATGGATGCAATGCAAATAAACTAAAAGACGTTACCTGTAATTATATTAATCTTCAATGTTAACGACTTTTCTCACAGTTAATCTCCTACGCCATCGAACTGTAATTTTATACCGCCAAAAGGTTACATCTTTATTTATTTTTGACAATGGAACACTGAATTTAGATAAAATAAACGGTGATGGTGCTAGTGCTATTGCAAACAAATAACTTATTCGAGAAATGAGATTTTATTTATTTATTTATTTATTTATCTGAACACATAAATATTGGTATAAGGGGGCACCAGATATTTATGCGCCACACAAAACAATGTGAATGGGGAGAAAAAAAGAAAAGGAACAATAAGGACCAGATTAATGTAAGGAAGTGTAATAATAATAATAATGGGGGATACGGAAAGGTACAACCAAAAAGAATTCTTTCAGTTAAGGAAGATACAACCATTTTTTTATGAAGAAAGTAAAAGAAGGTTACAGCAGGATTGCTATTGGCTTCTATTCTGAGCCATATCTGATAACGTCTCTAGCCACTGTGTTGCACCATCTCTCCGACCTAAGCCAGGGAGTCGTGAAAGACCAACAGAAGCCAGTCCCGTGCAGCTTTCTTTCATACCCCGACACCATGTCATACACTGACCACCTCTCCGCTTCTTCCAACTAGTCCCAGAGTCGGCAAGTAATGCGCGACGTGGGATTCTCTGGGACAACATTCGTAGAATATATCCAAGCCACCGAAGTCGATGTTTCAGAATGATGACACCAATTGAATTATCGTCTCTGCGCCCAAACACATGACGCCGAACCTCTGCATTACTGACATGGTGTTGCCACTGGATGTCAGCAATCCTTCGGAGACAACGATGATCAAACACAGAGAGTCGTGTAACACCCTCAACTCGGAGAGGCCAGGTTTCACAAACATAGAGCAGAATTGCTCTCACCGACGCGTTGTAGATCCGACCTTTTACAGCCAGACTGACATCACGAAGGCGCCAAAGATAACCAAGATTGGCATAAGCAGCTCTGGCTTTCACTATACGTGCATTGATCTCATCTCTCACGCCACCACCAGCACTTATGCAGCTACCTAGATACACGAACTTCTCGACTACTTCTATCTGCCCACCATCCAGGGTGAGTACAGGATTAGAATCCTGCCAGTCTTGTAAAAGTACTTCGCACTTCGAATGTGCAAAGCACATACCATAACTACGGACGCTGATTGAATGCGGATTGCATGGTTTGGGTATTATTGCTCAGTAAGACAATATCATCCGCATACTCAAGGTCGAGAAGTCTTTCTCCAGGCAACAGATTCACACCACCATTACTTACATCCATCAGAGCTGTTTCCAGAATGTCATCGATGGCAAAGTTGAAGAGGAGTGGTGAGATTGGGTAACCCTGTCTAACCCCACTGCTCGAATGGAACAATGAAGAGAGGTAGTTGTACGCCCTCACTCTGTCTGAGTTGTTTGTATATAGAGCCTTTAAGATGTTAATTAACTTCTCAGGAACACCCTTCAATAGACAGTCTTTCAGAACAGTCCTGTCCAACGAATCGAAGGCAGCCATGATGTCAACAAACACTACGATTGTTGGACTATGATAAGTATGACGGTGTTCTAACATTTGGCGGAGGGTGAAGATATGATCAATACATCCTCGACCAGAACGAAACCCAGCGTGCTCCTCGAGAGTCAATCTTTCTCGAGTTTTGAACAACTTACGAAGTATGACGGAAGCCAATAGCTTGGACGCGATCGGAAGTTGACTTATCCCCTGATATTTGTTACAGAAACGACGTGAACCGTTTTTAAAGATAGGGACAATTATCGACTCATTCCATGACGTTGGTACACTCTCTAGTTCCCAGACCTTTGTAAACAACATCGTCAGTTCTTTAGTCAGAAAGTCACCACCATCTTTAAAAAGAGCCGGAGGTAAGTCATCTGGGCCAGGTGATTTGTAACGCTTCAAGAGTTGGAGTTCCTTGCGGACTTCCTCCTCGTTTGGTGGATCAGTCGTCACCGGTCATGGGGGGCAGGACAGTCTGACCGATGTTGCCGGAGCAGCAGGCCAGTTTAACTGCTCTTCGAAGAATTCTGCCCGTCGTCCAAGACGTCGATGGATGTCAGTGATTGGCATCCCGTCATCCTCGCAGATTGTTTCACTCACACCATACTTCTTGCTGCCAGTGGCTCGGATGAGCCGCAAGCGGCTTTACTCGCCATTTTGATGGCGTCGTGAAATTGCTACCAACTTGCTGACATTAATCCTTTGGTGGCGGTCACTTCGTTGGCCACTGAGAAGGTAAGATTGGCGCAAACAAGGGCATGATCAAAGCCCAGATAGGTACTCCAAAAGCAGTGGCAGTCTTGTACACAACCACGCCAGCGGTAGCTGATCGCGATGTGATCAATCTGAGTCCAGGCTTGAGATGCAGAGGGAGGACGCCAGGTGGCACATCGGCGATGACTGTGCCGAAAGTTAGTGCTAGCCAGAAACGGGTTGTGGTATGTGCACAGTTGCAATAGACGGTCCCCGTTATCTGTCCTGCGACCAATACGTTCCAATCGGCCACCTAAACGATTCTCTTCTGTGCCTAGACGCCCGACCTGAGCATTCAAGTCTCCGGCTAGTACTACAATGTCTGTCGGACGCACTATCTGGAGAAGAACAGTTAACTGGTTATAGAATTCATCCTTGATTGCATCCGGGTTGCAATCTGTCGGGACATAAGCAGAGATGATGAAAAGACATCGTTTCTCACGCCAATATCTTCTCACTTCGATAAAATAAGCAGTGGGCGTGCTAGTGCCATTGCAAACAAATAACTTATTCGAGAGATGAGAAATACTATGCTAAGTTTAATGTCACCACCACAGCGATTATCTATTTACAAAATGCTTCGATATGAGCGCTTATGTGAACTACTCGTACCAGAGCAAAGACTGAAACAATGTATGAAGCTTTATAAAAATGTAATTGTCTAGGGCTCCATGCTTCCTTTGAGTAAAACAATGATGCATCAAGATAAAGATTTAAGAAATTTAAACGATACATGTAGTAAATAGAAAACTGCAAAAAATGAACGGCAACACTGAATGAAAGATATGGAACAATTTGATGTTGAAGACATACAGGAAGATCGTGATAGTGAATACAAATTGCTTAATGTAACTAATTTGAAGTGTATCGCTAAGTCTCTTACTAATGATTACAGTCATTTCATCAGTCCCCATCAAAAAGCTTGCTTTCTTAAATTACTAAACCAAACGCCAATTATATGTATTAACAATTTATCGATCTGATCCTATCTAAATGTTTTTCAGTTTACGCACGCAGTTACAGCGGCTGGAAAATTCATATCAGCAGTTTTGATATAATTGGACGTTAGAAGACCAACATTCAATTCATATTAACTGATTACAAGTTCTGTATTTTCTGATCATTCTTGACTGAATTTTTGTTGTTTCCTTAGTCAGGATTTGTCTTACGGTCAGTTATTGCTAAGTCGCTCCAAACATTTTGTAGCTTCAACCGATCAATATTATACGGCTGGTTGTGTTTACAACAATCAAAATCACGATCAGTCACACAAAAAACCGAGACAGAATCCTAATAACACTAGTTCCAAATATATCACTCGATGATGGTGTACAACCTCATCAGTCGCTTTGCCACCATTGCTTAATATTCTTCTTCTGACAACAGTTACGCCTACTGAGTTGTTTGACTAGACAGGAATAGTTTTCGCAAACAACTATGTGGAAACATGACTCAACATTTATCTGTGCCGCGTCAGATGTTGATTATTACTGACTGAAATATCTATGATGAAATACATGGAACATGCACGCCAATATTTTCAAAACATAAAGTAATGAAGGCACAGCTGTTATATTTTTTCAGCAAAAGATAATTGGGGGAGCTATGTAATAAGCGAAATAACTTTTTAAAACCCAAAACACTTTGAAACCCGAGACTTTGTCAATTACAATCTACTAAGGGTGATCAATGGTGGCGTGCTTGAATATCTGGGCAACCTGTTCCTGTCATTAGGATATTTCAGTAAGTTATCTGTTTCCCTGTATTTTTTAACACATCATTATGCCTATTAGTCTCAAACCTATTCAGGTACGTTTGTGAACAGTTTATGACATTCCGGTGTACAAGTTACAAAGGAAACCCAATCAGAGACATTATGGTTGCTGGTAGTATGTATCGAAAAGAATAAACATTATTCAGATGTCAATTCCAGAACTGCAAACAACTGGCAACACTCAATACTTATCGCAAGGATCGATCAAGAAATAAGAAAAGGAAACTTGTTGACATACTTTGTGCTGAGAATCCCACATTGTGCCAAAAATATATTTAATAAAGCCACTAGTAGTAATAATAATAATAAGACGGAGGAGAAAAAACTACTATAATGATCTAAATGATCAATCAGCTTACTTAGTCAACGTATTATGACTAGACAACAATCAAGCTTTAGGATCTAGGACATAGGATTAAAATTTAATCAGTTTGGATGGAATAATTTGTTCCGATACAATAAATCTAGTGACATTGCCCCCAAATGCCCTGGTACGGCCGAGGGTGAGAGAATTAGCTCTCTCTCTCTCTTTCGAAATGCTCTCACATGGTCACGCGTATATAGCCTCTGCCTGGGAAGTCCTACTCATTGCCTTCTCGTATCACGGGTGTTGCTTACGAAATTGAGAGGACGAAAAGCGAGTGTCCGGCGCTTTAACCGGGTTGGTGGACACCAAGGGTCCACCTAGGTGTGTTGGAAGTCCCTGATTCCAAACCAATGGTGCACATGGGCTCCAGTATCCTGAAGGAACAAATGGCGTATGAACCAATCGTTGGTCACTGGCTACCATGGGACTGCATCTCCTTACGTTGCTCTACTGCCTTGTGGATCGGACCTTCATGTTGAAGGCTCCGAGTGTGGCCCCCTAAGAAAACCACCTGCTTTGATTTGGGCACCCGGGCAGTATCAGAGCCCTCACACACATATGTATTTGGTGCCTCCTTGTACTAATATCTATGTGTTAAAATAAATAAATAATAATAAGACAACAATCATATAGACTAGTTCTAAAGCAAAAATTTGTATTTCATGTCAGAAATGAATCTTGAAATTCTTTTACATATGGCTGTAAATATTAGACTTGCATTGTGTCGATTTTTTACTTTGTGAAATATGTTGCCTAAGTTTGCGGATGAATTGTACAGAAAGTTAGCAAGT